AAAATTAGAATATATTTTAAAAATAGGGATAAAGAATTATATACTTCTTATGTTTATACATAAGTCCAAAAATCTCACCATATACAACCTTGAAGCAGGACAGTCCCACAATACTCCCTTTCCTGTTTCATGCTCTCATTCACCACCCCCTACTTTTTGATCAACCATCTACCCGAGAGACATCATAGCAGCAACTGTCATGTCATGACAAGGAGCCCATATTCAGAAGACCAGAATGACAGGCACTCCAAGAATGAAACTACTATTACAAAATAACCATCTGCAGTGCAGTAGCTTAGTTCACAGGTATCAGTATATACAGTTAGTCACGGTGAGAATCTTTCTAATTAACTGCTAGATTCAAAAATCTTCTGAAGATTCTCAGGATCATTGCCTTGCCCATCTTCCACATATAACTGTATGGCTTGAATATTCGTGTTTCTTAGCTCTTTTCCTTTCCCTCTTTTGATTGGATAGTCCTTGAGATCCTTCTTCTGTTTTATTTGTATTATACCTTTCTATTTGTATTTCTTCTTTTGAGGTCTTATACTAGGGAAACTATACAATATTTACACATGCGTATCTGGTTTATTTCACTTATGAGTATATGTTCGAGGGGCATCCACTTCAATATAAAGGCTTCGAGTTTATCATTCTTAATAACTGAATAATACTCAATTGTGAGAATGGAAATTGAGCCAAATGGAAAAGTCCTCAATGAAAGGGGAACAATGAGAAACTGACAGCATTCTCCCCTCAAAACAGATAGAAAACTGTATAATTCTGCAGAGTGAAACTCAAATGAGAAAATAATGTTATGTGAGGAGCAAAAACAATCTTACAATGGCTGCATAGAACTACTGAACTGTCAACACCATCACTAATTCCTGATAAGGAATTACAGGACCTCAACTTCACAGGCAAAAGTGACTCAAAGAAAAAGCCAGCACACTAGTGTGCTGAGAGGAAAATCAGCACACTAAAATCACAGAGGGTAAAGGAACAAAGAATATGGTGAACATGGCAAGGGCCACTGAGAAGTCAAGATAGAATTTTTAAAATTTCCACTGAATTTTAAGATGGTGTAGACAGAAGCAAAATTCCATAATTTGAAACATGGAAGGTAAAACAAGACATAAAAACATAGGCAACTGCGGTGTAAAGGGCCTGGGTCGGGGCTCCAAGAGGGAGATGGTAAAATAAGAGACTTGCCCTTTCCAGTGACAGGGTAAAGGGTGAAAACATGAAAGAGAAAGAATAACAATGATACCAGGCCCTTGAGAAGACAGAGGAGATGGGAGGAAGTGTACAAGTGAGCGACCCAAAAAAAGGTGTTTCTTTTGTTTCAATAGGGGGAAAAAAAGAATAGACCAAACTGAGGTAAGTTTGTAATGTTACTGTAGATGTGAAGGTCAGGTAGTGATTCTTCATATAACAATAAAAGTCATTCCAGTTGGCAAGAGGACCAGAGATGTAGAAAGGTAGATATGGATGAAGGTGGCAAAGTCTTCCATAAGCAGGTGGTCAGAAAATAAATGTATCAACAAAGAACTCTAGTCAACAATTCTAGTCAACAGTTTAAGGGAGCGTAAGTTGTCATAAACAATTACAACAATTAAAAATAACCAAGCATGAATGGGCAAAATCTGGCCTTGGGCCTGCCTACTTATGAGTTCTGTGACTCTGTGGATTTGATTGCATTTCTAAACTTCTCTGAATGTTTCTTCATAGGAACACAAGCATATCATTAGCTCCTACATCACAGGGTGATTGTGAAGATAAATCAAATAATACATGTAAGGTATGTAATTATGTAGTACTTAACACTAATAGTTATTATCTACTTAAGAAATACTAATGCTTCAATAACATACATACGGTGGAGAGCTTGGGTTGAATCTGCAGCACAATTCTTGCAAGTAAAGATGATGTTTACAGAGTTCAATTTGTGTGGGAATTTCAGCCTGGCTTTTTCTCTAAATCATATTTCCACTTTTCTTATTTCTTCACTTGCTTTCAAGTTTATTCTATTTTGTGTTTCTACAAATGCTTACATAAAGCCTGATATAAATAAAAATTAGTAAAAAAAAAAGTTTGAATTTATTTCTTCTTTCAACATTTTGTGAAAAGTTCGAATAAAACTAAGTTACCAGCCCTGGAGCACAGGAAAGAATTCTGTCAGGTTTAGAAGATCTACATGCAAAATTAACCCTCAGGTGGCACCTGAAAGTTGAACTTGGGGATGGTCACAACCAATCTCATCGGTAAAGGTGGCCAAACTGTTTCTACAAACAGTGTGTTATGTTAAGCATTTCTTTTTCTGCTGTAGAATTTTGGTACATGCTGGAAAGAAGGTGCCAACATGATCAGTACCAATATAATCCCTGGAGCATTGGGTCTGTGACTTCAGCTATTCCTGCTGCTACAAGGTATTTTTGGAGAGAAACAGAGATAGCTACACTAAAACAGGACACTGGGAGCCTATGCCTGGTTTCCTCTACATACCTCCATATGGCTTCTGCCACTGTCATTTTTGTTTATTATTATTTTGTTATCATAAATCTGTTAGAACCTTGCAAATGGGCAGTGTCACAGCCAGTGAGATTTATAGGAGGGGCAGTGATTGTTAGTTGAAAACATTTCCCAGAGAGGAAAAAGACACACAGAGTCCTCTGTGTTCCTCTTGGCAAGCCATTGAAACTGCCTCTTCGAGCTCCCTGAGGCACATGGATCCTGACCTTCACTAGAAACTGAAAATGTAAGCATTGATGGTAAGACTATTCTACCAGTAAACTATCTGATCCTGGCCCTGTGTCTGTAGGTTTTAGAGATAAGTTGGCTTCATGGTTTTCTACATCAACTCTTCATGAAAAAGACAGGATCGGCTTGTGAGATAACTCAGTAGAGTAAGCACTTGCCTGGCAAGAGCAAGCGCCTTAGTTCAATCCCCAGATCCACAAAAGAAAAACGACAGGGGAAGAAATCACCTAAGCATACAGCATTCCATCAGAGTTTACGAGGTCTGATATCTATCCTGGCTCCACTTTGTATCCTTAGGCTAGCTCATGTCTGGTCTGTTTCCTTACCAGTAAAACTATAACAGTACGTGTTTCAAACAAGAATTTTAAATTTCTAAGACTGTGAAGTCCTTAAAACAATTCTTTCCACCTAGCACTGCGGATGTATTATTTTTTTTTTAAATTTTTATTTGTTTATTTATTTATTGTGTGTGTGTGTGTGTGTGTGTGTGTGTGTGTGTGTGTGGCTAGCTCAGCCCACAAGGGGGTGGTGCTGGCTAGCATGTGGTGCTGGGGGATTGAACCGCAGTCCCTGTGCTTTGCTTAGCTTAGCTTGTTCTAAGTAGGTGCTTTAGACCACTGAGCCATCTCACCAGCCCCATTGCGGATGTATTATTGTCTTACATTAGAACTCTATATTTTTATTCTTTAATATTGTTAGTACTGCCTCTATAGAGTAGGTCTGTTATATTTTGTTTGGTATAAAAATTCTAAGTTTAAAAAAGTAAACTAAGGGCTAGCCAGATAGCTCAGCAGATTAAAGTGCCTGCTTATGCATAGTGCAGCAGCCGAAGTTTGATCCCTGGCTTGCTGAGGTAGTGATTGAGACTGGGCGTGGTGGCGAGTGCCTGTAATCCCAGCACTTGAGAGGCTGAAAACAGGAGAATCACTGAAACATTATGAGTCCAATGTATGCAGTGAGACCCTGTAGATTTTGTCGACCCTGTTCTAAATACATTTTTTTAAAAAAATTAAACTAAACTACAAATGCTAAAAACTAATAGAGGGCTGGAGGAATGTCATGTATGACATTCAGTTCCCAGCATGGGGGGGGGGCAGGGATAGAGCTCAGCAATATAAGTGCCTGCCTGAAAAGCACAAGGTCCTGAGCTTGATTCCTTGGGGGGGGGGGAGAAAAAGATATAAAAATGAGGGCCTGGGATCTAGCTCAGTAGCACAGCAACTGTCTGGCAAGTGTAAGGTCCCAAGTTTGAGGCCCAGTACCCAAAAGGAAAAAAAAAATGCAAAAATGAAATCTTAAACTAAAACTGTCACTTGGTGACATCAACTGCCTTTCTGTGAATGACTGAGACTCTAGTCTCATCTTCCCAATCCCGTAGGAGGTAGAAACAAAAAGACAAACAACAGCAAGCACATGAAGGGGAAGAGGGTGTTGACAATCACAGAGCGCTCAGTGCAAAGTCCTGTTTCCTACCCATAACTATGTTTATTTTCAAATATCAAAATCCATTTCAAAACATTCCACCCTTTCCTCCTCATTTTTAAAAATGTTTGCTGGGTAATGAGCGAGTAATAAGTGGCATGTTACAAACTTAACTGTTTCATTAGTCTCCAGCTACCAGTCCCTGGGACAGTTGACCTCAAAAGTAAACCTAAGTACACCTAACTCTGTGTTTTTAGAAAAAACGAAGTAAACATCCAGGGAGTTGGAGGTAATCAATTGCAAACATACCCATTAAATTCCTATTTTATTCTAAAAATAAAGAAAAACTAAGCAATCACCATGAAACCGGAAAATGGCACAAAAACTTATGTTAAGGTTTTCAAATTGTAGATTTTAGTACTCAGAAAAGAGAAATAAAAGGCACATGCTAAATCACAGTAATAAATAGTCCAATGCTACTTTTTATTATTATTACCTACTCTTAGAACTTTGATATCAAACCTGCCAGGATTAGAGAGCCATTAAAGATGACACACAATATAGCAGACTCGTTCAAATGTCTGTGTAAGGCACAGATCCCTGGCAACAGAACTAACTACTGCAATCTACTCCAGCAAGGGTGGCTGCAGATAATACATCGACATGACAAATTATGATGACCATTTCTCTGAAAATAAGCAACCTCCAACCAATCAGTTTGCCTTTATTTGCCAGGTTATCTAAGAAATCCCTCTTTACTAGGGTAGTAAGAGGTCACTTTTGAAGTCTTTTGAATAGAGAATAAATCCAAAACTCACCATAGCAAATGTACTGACACTTGGTTTCTTTTCTTTCTCTTTACTAAAAAACAAATAAATAAATAAAGTTATTACACCAAACTTTTCAAAAATACACAATTTTTAAATCTCTAATGTTCACTGCTTACATTTAGTAATACTTAGAACAAATATGTTTACATTATTCAGTAAAACGGGTGAATAATATGATGTAATTCATAATGTTTAAATATAAATACATTTACATGTATCTTAGTTATCCATACAGTTGCAATTTCTATAAAAGAGTGTCTCCCTTGTGCAATGCCTAGTTCCTAGTTCTCTATGATGAACATATATACATTTTTCACAATTAGGAAACAATTCATACTAAAACAAGTGTTTCCCCTTTTTATTTTAAATAGAAAATCACTCATTTCCTGTGAAATAAAATTTTCTTAATTACCATCTGAGCAGCTCCAAAAGTGGTCTGTGAAATGTGACAAGGCCATTCTTAGGCCTTAAAATGCCAGCTAATATTCTGATTCCGGTTTCCAGTGACTCTAACTCAGTAAATAAGCTCTCTCCTGTATGGAGCAGCCATCTCGGACATGAGAGCATATTAAGCAGAAGAGACCAGCCTCTGTTTCGTATATAGAAAATAAAAACTATTTTCAAAAACAGTACTAATTTTGGTAAGACTTTTAAATTCAGAACAACCAAAGTCTCCTAAAGAAAAAGCCCAGAGTTTCCTCAGATCTAGGTCTGTAGTGGTATTGGACAAGAATATAGGAGCATCTTCAGGTTTGGGCCCTCCCTAATCAGTAACCTTGGCAACCAGAAGACAGGTTAAAATGCCCATAAAGAGCTGCATATTTAGCTCTGAGATTTTCATCGTTTTTTAATCCTCTCAGACTGATGCTTCTTTGGAGAATACATAGTGTTAATAATATTTATAATGTTCCAAAGAGTGACTATGTAAGAATATTCCACATATGATTAATAAACAACTCTCATACAGGCAAAACTTTGTCCTGTCAGAGATAAGAAAACCACAGAAGAGTGATACAGGTTAGCTGCCTTGTTTAAGGTCCTGTTGCTGGATGAAAACCAATATTTGTACTGTAGAGTCTATCCCTACTGTACTGCATGGAAATACATCTTCGTAGGCACTCTCACCCCTACCATTTAGCTCCATCAGGAGAAAACACTTTTCAAAGGCAAGTCACTCATGTAACATCATTTTAATGAAGAATGTTTGCATGAATACAGATACTCCAGACTGCATAATCTACTGGCAAAGACAAATGCTTCCTACAATGCTATGCTAAAATGTATGATCTTATGAATAAATTAAAATCAGTGGTGATGACCATAAGTTAGTAAGAACTATTTATGAATTTTTTAATCTCTACTTTGAAGTCTTTAGGCCATGACAGTAACAATAGAGGATCAAACAATGTTCTCGGCCATTTCCCTCCATCTATCTTCACTACTTCTTACTCATACATATCTATGTCTTAAGAACAGACTTCTTTAAACTATTACGTTTTGAAAAAAAAAAAACAGAGGAAAAAATAGTGGTGCTTGACTGTAATCTCAGAAGGCAGGAGGATCACAGTTTTGAATGTAGTTCAAAGCAAAAACCATAGGTTCAGTCTCCAGTAACAGGGAAAGGGGGGAGTTCCTCCTACTCTGCGAAATCTTGTTCTCTGTTTATGAGGGAAATTTTACTGCAAAAAAGTTTATAAAAACAGCAAAACTAAAAGAGTAGCATAATGACTTCTCATATAATCAACTTGAATTGAGTACTAGCATTTGCACCACATTTACTTTATAAGGGAGTATATATTATCATTTATTAATGTTCAGCTCAACTATTTAAAATTGAAGTGCAAGTATTACAATACTCACATTTTTTAACCTAATTTTGGTATCATTTAGTATTCAATTCACACTTGCCAAGAATGTTTTCTACAAGTGTTTATCAAATCATGCATTACATTTACTGCTCATCTCTCTTCAGTCTCTCCTTATCTAACTTTCATCATTCTTTTGGTATGTTTTTAAAGACACAACAGCAGTTTTATAGAATGTCTCACATCTTAGATACACCTGAATATAAGTGGAGTCATACATTAAAAATACACATTTTGGAAGACTTACCCTAAATAAGAGAATGCAAGCACTCTTATGAATAATTTTGACTATATATATAAATAATTTGGATACATTATTCCATTAATATTTCACAATTTATCTCATGTTTCCTTTTACTTTTAATGTTGGTTCTAGAAATTTTAAAAATACCAATGTGGCCCATATTGCAATTCTTTTGGAAGGGACCAGACTACAGGTTTGACTGGATTCAGATTAAATAGTTTTGCAAATCTATGTGGTATTGAGTAACTTAATATAGTCAATTCCAGCCTCAGTGATACTGTCCGGTTACCATAGGAATGTGCCAATTGTAAATCTAACGAAAAAATCATATTTCCCTTCTTCCCATTAGGAACAAGTGTGGAGATACTTATTAGATGCCACTTTCCTCTGAATGATTTAGAAAAACAGTCCCAATCAAACGTTGCCTGAGTCAGTGATTACAATGAGGGTTCCAGTTTGATTATATACAGGTTCACTTTTCTGTAAAGAAGTTTCCTTTGTTTTCTTCACCTCTCATACATGTTCAGTTTTCCACCTCTTTGAGCATCAAGAAAATTAATGATTCTGATACACCTCTTAGAATACATTACAGATTCACTCATTTGTATTTAGTGTACCAGAATCATTAATTTTCTTGATGCTCAAACTCTCCTAAACTTGGATAGTGTATAACCACACTCCCAAGTCTCTCCTCTCTCTCTCTCTCTCTCTCTCTCTCTCTCTCTCTCTCTCACACGCACGCACGCACGCACACACACACACACACACACACAGGCTCATGTGTTCTGATTTCTCTACTTGCTTGGGCTACTACAATATACCCAGACTCGCTCTGTACTCTCCCTGCCCCAAATCTAGCTCAAAGTCTCTATTTTTCTTAGAGCTGTCCCATCCTTTCAGGGAGAAATGTTATTCCTTTCCCTGGACTGAAATGATTAAAAATATCATGCATTCATGTTGAGGTTTCCAATTCAAATTTTACTTTTAAAAATTTGATTTACACATTTTCCCTCTTACACTGAAAAGTCTGGTTTTCCTTATTATCACATTTAATAACTTGTTTTATCTTACAATTTGCATTACACTTTCTTGGGAGAGGCTAAGAACCTATTGAGTAAAGTTCACAATTTCCCATATGGGCAGAGTTCCATAAACAAAATATGCTTAAAATAATTATCTTGTTCCTCTGTGGTTACATTGCCATTTTACATACACATATCTATTCCCAGTTACAACTTCACGAGGAAAAAAACAGCCTTAATGTAGTGCAGGCAGAATATGCCTCAACTGCGTGCTGCACAGAACAAAGTCAAACTGAGCACTACAGAAGGGTGATGTGACCCACAGCTGTCTGGAGGTGGAACCTTGCCCAGAGCCTCAGCCAGACTCGGGGCGCCAAGGCTTTTCTGCTCCCAGCGGCCCCGCTTAGAGTCAGCCTGACACGATGGGGACAGAATAACCGCCGCACTTTTACGGGGTTCAGAGCTGCAGAGTAATACTGTGTGCCTGGCTCTTTCAAACCCTGGAAGGAAAGCAAGCCAGCTACCTTTTCTCGCCCATCTTCAATGTCTGCCCGCTCCTCCACTGGGGTCCTCTTTGCTGCCCTGGCGACCCAGGAGACACCACAGCCGCTGTCCCAAGCGCACGCCGGATGGAGGCCAGGCGGCGCCGGGCTGGAGGGCGGGCTGCTCCTCCCGCCCCCGGTGACCTCCGCACCGGGCTGGACCGGGCGCTGCGGCGGGGTGGAGCCCCGATTGCTAGCCCTTCGGGCACCACGACCCGCAGGGAGGGATATCCGCTCCTCCACCCGGCCGGAGCCTGCGGAGTCGGGAAGCCAGACCTTCCGCCCGGCCCGGGCCCCTCCGGGCCTCCCGGAGCCCTGCTGCGCCCGCCGGGTGTGCGCGCCTCCCGGAGCCACGCCGCGACACCTCCTCCCAGCTCGCCGGGAGGGAAGCGCACAGCAGCCTGGCGGAGCTGTGGAGAAGCAGCTCACGGGCCGAGCCGAGGAGGGTCGTGGCCTGGGGGGCTGCGAGGGCCCAGCTGCTGCGGAGCCGGGGCACGGGCCCGCCCGCAGGTCCGCGTGGAGGCGTGTGTGGATCGAGCCGCGTCCGCGGGCTCAGGTGCCAGCGGGACACTTGCAGGCTTCAGAAAATAACTTTGGACCTTGCCCAGGCTGAGAATGTGCCTTGCCTGTAACGTCTCCAAAAAGATAGGAGAGAAAATTTTTCTGCCGGCTACTTTCTGTACTCTGCCCAACAGTATCTGAGTCAGAGTACTTCACTCTTCTGTGATAAGCATGAAATAAAAACGAAGGTTTTTGAATATGTTTACATGATGATGAGCATTTCAGAGGAAAACGATATTTTAAAACGTGTTTTTTAAATGTTTACTGATTAATAAATGTCTATGTTTTCCCAGACTACTTTTTTTTTTTTTTTTTTTTTTTTTTTTTTTTTTTTTTGGTACAGAGTCTCACTATGCGGCTTGGGCTTGTAGTGATCCTGACAGGAAGAAAAACTGATCTAGAGTGGATGACCTCCAAATGATATAGAGGAAAAAAAGAAACTCCCGACCTGAAAGTTACCTGGGACGAGTTTGTATTCTCAAAAACCAAAGAATGAATTTTAGGAGCCAATGGAGGTTATGAGCAGAATATGTTTATTGGAGGAAAGAAAGCTTCTGTCCAAGAGAGGGACAGAAGTGGGGTATGTGTGGGTTGTCCCTAAGAAGCTGTCTCTTCCCAAGACTTTTATAGAGGAAAACCATGTGGTGAGGTGGGTGGAGAACATGTAAACTCACTTAGGTGGGCATGAGGTGGGACAAAACTGTGGTCAACCAATGAGATTGCAAGCACCATTGCTCAGGTAAAATTGATTAAATCCAGTACCAAATGAGGAAGCAAGTCAAGTAGCAAGTGGGTATGAATATGGGACAGGGTCTCTTCTTTCAAGGTGATTGATACCTATTTAGAATATCAGTCTCTGATGTCCATCCCTGGGAAGTATGTAGCTATATTTGTTTGCTCTTCTGTCTTAAGTCTGGCCTAAAATGAGTATCTGTCTCTTCCAAGTTGCAGTCACCTTGTCTTCCATATTTCCTTCTTGTGGACCTGGCCTTGCCTGACTACCTATAATATTTCTATCTAATTCAGCTGCCCACAACATTCCCCCCTCTGAAGAGTAACCTGAACTGCCGTGAGGGAACCATGGGTGATGACTGCTCTGGCTTCTTCAGGCTGAAAGTGGTCATAGTTGTTGACTGGTTGTCAGAGATACTCCCCACAGGTTTTATCTAAAGGCCCTCAATAGACATCAGACATTTTTACATGGGGTGGGTGTATAGCTTTAAGTCTGGAGGAGACAGAGCCAAACAAACATTCAGGGGTCAAATAATCACATCAGCAGGATAATTATGAATGTAGTCAAAGATTTGTATCAAGTAGACAGTAATAACTTCCCATAAAAATGATAAAGATAGAGTCCAGGCAACCTCATCATGTTACATACCATTGATTTGATATCTAATATTTTGAACAGCTATTGAGATATTAGAAGGATCTGGAATGTCATAACATTTTAAAGTTTATAATTATAAGAAGACTGGTTAGGACTTTTTGTAGGTCTATTAGCAGAGATCTCTTAAACATGGGGTTTATCCCTTTCTTAATTTTCCATAGCCATTGGGTATTATCTGAAATAAAATGGCCAACTCTTACTTTTACTGAGGGTACATGAATTACAGGACCTAGGGAAAACACTGAGTACTCTCCAGGTGGCAAGTGAGGCCACTGGCTGTGTAACTACCAACACATCTGCATGAGCATCTAGTTTAATAGGCTTTCTCCTTATATTGGCAGTTAACATGGGTTGCCTGGGGCTGAGAGGGGAAAACCCATGACCAGCTCAATCTGAGACTTCCTTTGATTCCATCATGAACACTTTCTCTTTTTCTCTCTAGCAGCTTTGGGTACTTTGTGCTTGAAATATCCCTTCTCTCTGTCTGCATACAGGGAAACATTAACTTTTTCCCTGTTTCCAGACTGACCTTCATTCCTGTAGGCTGCTAGTATCACTATTCTCATTTTCTGTCTATAATCCCATTCTGTGTCTTTCCTACTATGAAACACCTCAACTCAGACAAATTCATTCCTGCAAACCCTTCTAACTTCTGCAGCTTGTGTGAGATATCTAGGGCCCACTGAGAAAATTTGTCAGTTTTAAGGCCTCCTGCAGGCAGTCCTGTCCAAGGATTTTGAGGATAACTTGCCCTGTAGTGGATTTCCTGAAATAGAATTAGACTGATAAAGGAAGCATCTTTAAGGGCAATCAGTCCCGCCCAAGGAATGTGAAAAGAGCTTCCCTTATAATGAGGCAGGAAACCCCAAGAAGACTCAGCTCACCTAGGCTGTATGAGATAGATATAGTTATTAAGGCCTTAATATGTCTCTATAGACAAAATCTGGTGGATCCCAGGGAAAGAAATCTAAATTCAATCTAGCATGTTTGCCATAGGTTTTACCTGTATATCACCTGGGTTTTGGTGTCTCCTAAGAAAAAACAAATTTTCGGATTAGAACATGTGTAATCAAAGCATGAGCATTTGAGCCAACAGATAAACTACAATCCTTTTTAAAGGAATAGCAATTATAACCTACTGGCTTTTTGACTCTTTATTTATAGCATGTAATAATTTGCTATATGTCTCTCTAGCTTTAGGTCAGAAATCAACCAGTGAACATGTATCATGAAATACACAGCATTTAGTCAGATTAATCCAATGTCCCTATCAGTGTTTAGATATGACCTCCATTGTAAGCAAGGGGCACTGCCGAGGGATTTTTTCTTTTAACACTGAAGCTGAGTTTTACTTCACTGATATAAGGCCTGGCTCTATCTATAGGCCCCAATCTATTGTACACTGTGTAGCCAATGTCTTTAGAACTTTTCAACACTGACAGGATTTTAACTATCCTTTGGGATCTGTTTTAACTAGGGAAATACCTTTTTTAAGTCTTACACATGAGCAACCATATGTATTGCATTTGTAAGAAATCAATCTCAGCATCATTTTGATTAGTAAGTAACCTGAATATATATTGCAGTATCTCATTGCAACTAAAGCAAGATGTCTTCTAACATCTGTTTCCATTGAGGTGGATGACTGGAAGGAAGGTCAGCGTTAGAGAAGGACAGAGAGACCTATACCAATGTTCAAAAATTGGCTGGGTTTCCTTTCCCTCTATAGTCATGATTACCCAGGGCTCCTCCTTGGAGATGACAGGTAGAGAAAACATCTGACCATAGGGTAGACACAGGCCCAGGGCTCTTCAGTCCTACTTGACCAACTGGGAAGCTGAGTCTGAGCTCTGGGGTCTCTACTTCAGAGTGCAGTCTCACTTGTAGTGGCTACCTTGATGGTCAGGTCATGGCTTGTGGGCCTCTTAAGGCAGTCCCTCTTATGCTAGCCTGGCTTCTGATAGCAGTAGCAGATGAACAGAGAATCAGGCTTAGGGTCAGCTTTGAGGTCGCAATAATGGCAACCTTTTTTTTTATCTCTTTGTTTTTTCTCCAAATCCTGATTATTTTTTTCAGAATCAAGGATTTAAATCAGGCCCTTATTCTACTGAACTATCTCCCTAGCCCCTTCCAATTCTGTTTATAGGGCACTAAAGAAATTTTTACAGTATCAAATGAGTTGTCTGGAACAAAAGTTATCTTTTGTAGCTCTTTTCTAATACCTGGAGCTGGTTGAGTAATGAATTTATCTGTAAGAATAATCTGTCTATTAAATTGGGATCTAGGGAAGTATGTTTTACCAGTTTCTCTATCAATGGTTCTAAGCAAAGAATGATGTTCATCTTTCTGTTCATTCATAGCTAAAATTTAAAAAAACTAGAAGGGTTGGTTCTAGTTCTTAGATCTTCAATAATACACACTTGAAAGAAAATGTCTGTTCTAGTTTCCTACCTGGCTACTAGGGCAGCAGGTGTCTTACTGCTTGGAGTCCAGTGGGAACAGGTAGTTCCACTGGTTGTCTGTCTCTTGGCTCTTTATAATAATACAATATTTACCTCAAAATGTGATAGCAACTTGTAATACTGCCTTTTACTAGAAGTCGAAGCATGATTTAAGGTTAACATTGATAAGTCTGAGTAAGTCCTCCAAAGACAATTTACTTGTCAGGGTAATCTAAAGATCTTCTAAGGTCTGACTTTATCTGTTTTAGGTCACAGAGAAAAAGGCACGTGAACTCTGGAAGTTATAAATTGCCTATTTATGTTTTTATAGGATGTTGTCCTTGAGAAGCTTGTCTAAATTCAGCTAAGGATGGTTGAGGCCTTGGAGAGGCCTGGATTACAGCTGTTTTAGAAGCCCACACCCTCTGGACTAGAGAAAGACAAATAGAGGAAACCTTACTTTCAGTAATGATGGGCAAGGCTGTGATTAATGCTGTCTTGTCCCTAGGCTCCAAAGGTTAGGGAGGAGCAGCCTTACACTCCAGAATATTGAATGCCTCAAGCACCTGAACTGCCCTGTTCTCCTGTAACTCGTGTCTACATTTCAAAACTAGAGAACAATGATTTTCTTAATGCAAACTAAATCTGAACATAAGACCTTTTTTTTTTTTTTTTACCATTTTGCTTTTTGGGGTTTTGTTCTAGTTGCAAAATAGTGTCACAATTGATACTTCTCTCT